CGTACTATGATTTCGACGCCTCTGATTTCATCGTCAATCACTGCCCCGACGGCATCGCTAGCTTCATCCTACAGCCGCAAGTGAACGACACCGCCGTGACCAACGGAGCCACCCTCGACGGCGTGCGTGGGACGTACCCACCGGAGCTCTGGCTCTCGAGCAGCGATAGCTGGAAGTTCGATCACGTTGACAACGTGCTTGACTGGGCGGGCGCCGCGGGGCTCAAGATGGAGTTCCTTTGGTTCGGCTCCGACACGACCAGCGCCACGGTGGACTTCCGTGTCCCGTACTTCGTCTACCGACACGTACTTGTCCAGAAGGTGCAGTCGGACGGCACGGTGGTGCCGGCGATGCTCAAGATGCATGGTTACGGCCAGGGAGTGTACTGGTACCTGACCGACAAGAACGACCTCGCGCTGCGGGCGCTGGAGAAAACGGCGCTCAAGACGCTCCTCAACCACGTGGCCGAGTACAACGCGGCCAACGGGGACCTGAAGACGCTGGTGGGAGTGGACGTGGCTAACGAGAATTCAGTGACGCACATTCATGGCGTGGGGGACACCGTCTACCACAACCCGCTCACCTGGGGCGCCTACGGCAACTTCTCCTCGCAGGCCGCCTTCGTCGCACGCACCGAGTGGGAGTACTCGGTCAACCTGGCCAACGGGGTCAAGGAGTCGAATTATCCCGTGTGGACGCGGCTGAACACCTTCACCACCGCCGAGGAGAAGTCGATCGACTACAACGAGGCCCAGCGGTTGACGACGGGCACCAGCCTCGACTTCGTCGGCCTCGACCCCTACTCGACCTCGACGTCGGTGCTGTACGCCTACGGCCATGAGACCGTTGCCATCGGCGGCTCAGACGAGAATTGGGCCAGCGGGTCCAATCTGCCCATGGTCATGGAGAACTCGGGTGCCACCTCCTCCGCCGAGTCCCTGCTGATGGCCTCGCTGGCGGGCGGCGCCTTCTACAACGTCTACGAGTACATGGGCCCGGACAACTATGGCCTATACTACCCCAAGAGCACCACCACGCGGGACTTTACCCCGGTCGCGCGCAGCTCCTACGTCGCCGATGTGATCGCAACCAACAAGCTACTCAAGGCACTCGCGCTGGACCTCTCGACCAAGCTGCCCGCCGGCGCCGGCGGCACCCGCCTCGTCTACTTCAACCCCTTCAGCAACAGCACCCTAGACCAGCGCAGCATCGGGGACTTTACCGTCAGCTACAGCCCCGCCTCTACTGGCGGCGTGGGCATTGGCATCCTCCGCAGCGACCAGACTCTGCTCCTGGCCAGTACGCGCAACTCCACCTTCACCGTCGCCGGCCTGTCCACCTACGGCATCAGCGCCGTTGAATATGGCTACTACACCTCGGCCGGAGACTTCGTCGCCAATGGCACTGTCATTTACACCTCCACCTCAACCGGTCTCACCGTCCCGGTTCGCCAGGATCAGCTGGTTCACATTGAGACGAAGACGGCCTTCACCCTGCCCTAAGTGGGTCGTACCGTGGTGGTGGGTAGGTAGCATGGGCGCCCATTGCTCTTGGGAAGTAGTGGAACACACTCAATGTAAATAATTTTAAGTCCTCCGTACAGTCCCCTAATTCACGAATGACAACTCCTGTGGGCTGTGGACATAGCTTTTAAGTTTAAAAAGATACCTCATGTATAAAGTTGTGATCGGTGCTGGTAAGAGTGCCGGGACCTTCCGAACCACCCAAGCCCTTCAGCCTTCACCCACCCCGTCCACTTCAGCTCCCAAAAGCGAGAGCTGCGTCGCCATGACGTCGCCACATTCCCACCACAAATCTCCCTCCCTTTCAGACGCGACTATAGGCCTGGCCAAAGAAACAAAAAAAAAATTAACTTTCCCGAACACGAGCACATCCGTCGTCCGCGAGCACAGATAAGCATTCTTCATCCCTTCTGCGGGTTACCCCGCACCGCAAAGATGTCAGATAAATGCGTACGACCTCTCGAACAATGTCTGTCCGCTCCATCGTTCGCTCCACCCTGCAACGGCAGCGCCTACTCACCAGAAAAATGGCCACCGTCGCAGCACCCACGCACTACGACGCCATCATCATCGGCTCCGGCCAGGGCGGCACGCCCCTCGCCAAGGCCTTGGCCGAGGCCCAGCACAAAACCGCCCTGATCGAACGCGCCCACGTCGGCGGCTGCTGCGTCAACGAGGGGTGCACGCCCACGAAGACCATGATCGCGTCTGGCAGGGTCGCGGAGCTGACGCGCCGGGGTCCGGGGTACGGGGTGCATGTGCCGGGGTTGTCGCGGAGCGACACAGACGAAAGGGACCAGGACCAGAGCCAGAATCCTATTGTGATTGAGATGGAGCGGGTCCGGCAGCGGAAGCGGGAGATCGTGGAGTCGTTCCGCAGCGGAGGAGAACGTCGATTGGAGGCGGCTGGGGTCGATGTGTTGATGGGGGAGGCGAGCTTCGTGGATGGGACGACGCTGGCGGTGGCGATGCGGGATGGCAGCAGCAAAATGGTTACCGGCGGGACGATTGTGATTAACACCGGGTGTCGGCCGTCGGTTCCGCAGATTGAGAATCTTGATGCGATTCCGGGGGACCGGGTCTTGGATTCGACCTCGGTCATGGAGTTGGATCGCGTCCCCGAGCATTTGGTGGTGGTTGGTGGCGGGTATATTGGGGTCGAGTTCGGGCAGCTGTTTCGGAGACTCGGGGCTAGGGTTACCATCCTCCATCGTGGGACGCAGCTGTTGCCGCGCGAGGATCCGGAGCTGGCCAGGCTGCTGCTCGATGTCTTCCGGGAAGATGGCATGGACGTTCTGCTGGAGACGACGCCCGTTCGTCTTCGGCCGGTCACCGACGAGGGCTTTGATGTTTCGATCAGGTCCAAGCAAGGTGAACGAGTCTTAGGCGGCGTCACGCATATCCTCTTCGCGGCTGGGCGCGTACCGAACACTGAACAGCTAAATCTAGATGCCGCAGGTGTTAAGATCGACAAAAAGGGCTATATCGCCACCAACGAATTTTTGGAGACATCTGTGCCTTCCATCTATGCGCTGGGTGATGTCAAAGGCCCTCCCGCCTTCACGCATGTCTCTTACGACGACTTCCGGATCCTCAAGTCAAGTCTCTTAGCAACCCACCCGCCAGCGGCGAAACAGTCGACGAGAGGGCGGTTGGTACCCTATGTGGCGTTCACTGATCCTCAGTTCGCGCATGTGGGATTGCACGAGCATGAGGCACGAGAAAAATACCCCGGCAAAAGGATCCTCACTGCGCTGATGCCGATGGGCTATGTAGCACGGGCCTTGGAGATTGACGAGGTCAGAGGAGCCATGAAGGCGGTCGTTGATGGAGAGACCAAGCTCATTCTGGGATTCTCATGCTTGGGGGTCGAGGGCGGGGAGCTGATGAGTGTCGTGCAGATGGCCATGGCGGGGAACTTGTCGTATGAGAAGTTGCAGGATGGTATCTTTGCACATCCCACTCTTGCAGAATCCTTGAATAATCTTTGGGCGTTTTTGAAGTGATTCGTTGCTGGTGGAAGTGGATTGTTGTGTCATTCACTGGTCAGTTGCCTCCAAATATATAAGGGGTCAAGCACTGGTTCCATGTTTTGGGTGCATGGTGGAACTGCTGACTACCATGGGACTTCACGGCACGAAAAAAAGCTAAACACAGACTGAATAGGAAGACGCTCGTTGAACTATGTATTGTGTTACGTTAGTTCTATAAAATAGATGTTGAACGATTTACGCGGTGGGAAGAGTAAAAAGCGGCAAAAGATTGACCAGACTGGGGCTCGATCCCAGGACCTTATCGGTGTTAACGATACGTGATAACCAACTACACCATCCGGCCAGTTATATTGGAAAAGGCACAGAAATTGCATCTCAGTACAGAGGAGCATGCGAAAATCTAGATCAAGCCGGACCACACGGCGAATCATACTATGGGTGAGGCTAACCTATGTCCTGATCTTCGAAACGTAGCCAACATTGTTGATGTGAGGCTCATGGGGCTGTCGGAAAAATTGGGATGGTGATCCGTTTCCGGACAAGATCATCAGCAAATGTTGACATTACAAGTATGCTACGATTGGGGAGTTGGCCGCATCCACAGAGACGCTCTTGCATGGAAGAAATAACCGCAGAGAGACCGAAGCCAAAAACCCATGCACACCGCGATGGCGTATGGTTATGGGGTGCATTGTTCGTGGGCTTTGGAAACGTTTCCGATCTTGGTGGGGGTTTGTGCTCGGTCGCACCAGCCAAACAACTAAGCCTGAAGTGGCTAGTCATAGCCGTGGTGGCATGGGTCAAAAGACTCAAAACTCAAAACAACATAGCGGATATCTCTTCCAAAAAGACCTTCTGCCAGAATCTGGAGAAATGCGGGCTTCCTCAGATGCTTGCATCAGGAGAGCCAGAGCAATTTGGATTTACTATCGAGTGGTATAGACATTCCACAGGTTGAAAAGAAAGCCGAGGCTCTGCAGATTGCGATCAAACAGAAATGCAAAGTGGTCTCGGACAACCGACAAGGGAGAAAAGCAGATCACCATGGGCATGAATATTAGTTAGTACCAGGTAGGGTAAACTGTAGTGGATATTCGAAAGCGGGGAAGCTAAGCAGCGACTAGGTTACCTAATCACCGTACCTACTGAGTAAGTTACCTGTTGGTTTGTTTGCGGTGTTCGGATCGGAATATGACACCGGCTATGGCACACAGTCGGAAATGTAGCAGTAACGCGAATGATAGCCACAAGGTAGGTAGGTAGCTTTCCCTGACGCGGGATCAGTGAAACGCAAATTCTCCCACAATGTGCCAATTCTGGACTCAGACGTTCCGAGTGACGGACCAAAAGAGCTCGAACCCGACGGCCTAGTTCGATTCTTCGTGTATTCATTGATGCCGAATGTGGAAAACAGAGCATCAGTGTGCCGAGGATGGTTGAACACGAGAACACGAGATGGAATGCAGGCGAGAAAAAACATCATTTAGGCCCGCAAACTCTTCTTATGAGTGCTGCGTATCTTTTCGTACTCAGGCAGAGCCCATTTTACCATCCACTCCGACTCCAGAACCTGTCGAGCAGAAGGACGATCCTCCGGCCGAAAAGGAAGCATCGAGCGCAACATCGAGGAAAGTGTACCTCGTTCACTCGAGTCAAAGGGTGACATACCCTCTTTGATCCGTGGTCGCTGCACGTTCGATTCAAAGCGATCCTCCAGTGTCCGACGTGGGGAACGGGATGGGTTGATCGGCTCTCCATGCTCGGTGAAGTGGTCTTGACGAGCTCCCCACTTTCCCCACCATTCAGTCGCCAACAGGCCAAGTGCATCAATCTGCTGGCAAGTCTATCGTCTTCCTTGGTAAGAAAGCCTTCGAAAAGGGGTTTTTGGGCAATGATGTCCCAGATGGTGCAGGCAAGAGTCCAGATATCGGATGAAAAAGTGAGAGGTTTAGTGGGCTCAAACCGAGCCTCCGGAGGGCGGATCGAAAGAGGAGTATGAGACTCGGATTTCATTTCTCGCGCCGGAGAGGATGCCTCACCAAAGTCTGAAACGATAATCCTGGCTTCAGGAAGTGTGATATTCTCACTTGCTTCCCCAAGCCAGATAAGTAACACGCCGTATTGTGGGACGCCTGGTGGGAGCGTTTGGCCGTCTAGACGATTGACTGGTTCAAGTAGCGGCCCCCCATACTGCTCGTATAGCCGTTTTGTGGAAAGCTGATCAAAGTCACGACGCAGTTGAAGTAGGATGTTTCCGCGACGAAGATCTCCATGGACGAAGTCCCGTGAATGAATATAATGGATAGCAATCGCAAGCTGCGCCGCTAAGACTCGGGCCACTTCAAGCTGGCAAATGTTGATCCAAGATCCGTTCTTTGCGTCAGAAAGACTCATCCTGGCCGGCTTAGTCACCAAACAGATGTGTTCGCCATTTGGGTCTTGAATGTTGAACTTATTCAAGATTGAGGGGATCAGAGTTCTGCCTATGTCTGACAACAAGGGAGGTTTCGAGAGTTCCAATATGACGTCAATTTCGGGCGGTTTCGAATCTGCCGTACAGACTTTCACCGCAACGTATATGCGAGATCGCTCATCTCGGGCCAGCCAAATCGTCGAGTATGTCCCATGCCCAAGCTTATGGATGACCCGATAGCGACCGTGGAGACGATCCCGATTGTTACTGGGTGATAGCCACCGGGCTGATAGTATTCCATTCTTTCTAAATCTTCAATAGGCTCGTACAGAACACGAGTTGGGTTCATTGTTGGTACCGTTAGTTTGAAGGTAGCGAGAGAAGATGCACGAGAGCTTCGACCGTGAAGATACAGTGGGTTTGCGTTCTTTGAGAAGAGACCTCGACGAGGAAGAACTCTCACTTTTTTTTTTATCCTTTTTTCTCTTTTTTATATCTTGTCTTTCTTATGCAAACAAGGCCTTGTCATTTCGGAGTGAATGGCCAATCACTAACGTTAGCCTTGTCTAACACGTAGAGCAACGCTCCCTAGGTACTACCAACAATCCTTTGACAGGTCATCAGTCGAATGTTCACGGCTCGTAGCCATGAGCTCGGTGATCTAGATCAATGGCAATAATGTCTTGCAGGAAGAGATCAAGCGGCAATGGCCCTCGAGGAACTTTATGGAAGCAGGTCGCCAATCGACGCTAAACCAAATTCAGTGTTATTAGACCACCTGTAGTAAGTAACCTACTGTATGATTTAGCTGCTACAGGTCTGCGTAAAATGGTGCCCGCTCACTTACCCGACCGTGCAACTTGGGCCGTCAAATTAAGGCTTGCGGTCCAGCTTCTTACCCACCGCCACACCTTTGCCTCCCCGGCCTCCCAAGAGAGCTACACAACTAGTAGTGAGACTAGTGAAAAATTGAGTTAGTTAGTCGGTCACGGGACCGGCGCCCATGTGCTGACGCAGCGACGCTGCGCCTTGAGAAGCTAAGATCGGCAACAAATGGCCCTCTCACCCCGCATTTGCTGCCAAACCCCAGCCCGTCTGCAAACTTCCCAGTTTTGCTGTTTGTGTTGGGAAAAGAGAATCGTATGGAAGTTGAGAGAACCCTGAGGTCTTGGAAACTCTACTCGAGAAAAGTTTAGGGCTAAAGAAGTGTACAGTAACTCTACTCGAGAAAAGTTTAGGGCTAAAGAAGTGTACAGTACACCATAAAAAAAGCTTGGGCCCATATCCAACGGTCATGTGACGATCGCGTTCACCACCGCACCGTGCGGACTGGCGACGACTTGGACGCGCCGATGGTCAAGTCAAGTTATAGTCTACTGCACCTGTGACCTGAGCGGCGAGAAGTCTCGGGGAGCGATTCGGGTACGATTGAAATCCAGGCTGTCCGTCAGCAATCATGTTTGCCATCCTAGACCGGGATTGTGCTCATCCGCTCCCGGATTGAGGCAATAACCAGGATCACTTAGCAGCAACCCGGCAAAGCGCAGCGAAAGGGCAGCCAAAGTCAAGAGGCTAGTGTCGAATCCCGGTTATGATTCGCTGCCGAAAATCTCCCAGGATTCTAGTTGGTGACCCCGGATGTAACTTATACATGTCACCTTCCAATTATTAGTCAGTGGGGTCACGGCAAGACCGAAACGGCGAAAACCGCCGCCAGACCGGAGGGACGGAAGGACAGCGAGCAAGAAAAGCTTCCCGGACACGGCACAATCCTCAACGGAAAACCTATCGGCTTTTCGAGGCTAAGGGGAGGAAATTGGGAAATTGGTCAGGACAGCCTTTCTCATGTCAGCCACATACATCATTATACCTGATTGTAGGTCGTTTGTCTATTGAGGTGGGATTACGCTATCCATCTCCGGCTTTGTAACAGAAAGCCAGAAACCTTGTCTTTTGAGCCGCCAATCAGGCGCGGTGGTTCTACCCTGGAAACCTTGGGAGGCTTTGTGGTACTATCGTGGTCGACCACGTTCCAGCGACCACCAGAGATCTGGGGATCCGGGGTATGTCCGATTTCTGGAGTATCTGGTCTGTGTGTGCGTTTGTGGAATGTGGAGGTTGCGGAGAAGAGCAGAGGAAGCAGGAGCCCAGGCGCTTTGAGCGCCGGAAGTGGGGTTTGCGGCAAAAGCCACCAGCCGCCCAATCCTGCAGCCAGCCAAGCCCTAACTGGGTGTCAGACGGGCATACGCTCGTATGATCGGTCTCGTTGCTAGTGCTGACAATGCTACGAGACCGTGTCCCCATGCCCTTTGTATGTCCATACAGTACGGAGTACTGTAATTACCCCACGGGGAGGTAGGGTGAATGAATTTGCCTATATGCGGTGAATGAGCCACTCTTTTTTTTTTAACCCCCCCTTTAGTTTCTTCTTAAATCCCCATGAGGTTTTCGTCAGCAGAGATCTTCCCCAGACCAACTTCCCTCTCATCCGCCTCAGACTGAACCATCCACCATGAACGAAAAGACGTCTGCGGACGTGATCTCTCACAATGAGAATGTGGTCCCGATCACCAAGCCCGAGCTGCCTCACGCGGCTCGCGGGCCAGCCCTCAATCTGATCGAGAACCCCCTGACGGTGAGCATCGCACGTGTTGAACTTGTGACTTCGGAGACACTGACTGTTCATCTCGCTGGAAGCGCAAATCTCCAGAGCAGGTTGTTCTCGACGCTCGCGCGTTCGCCGACTCCCACGACATGTCCGAGCACGCCGATCTCCTTGGTCGTGCTGCCCTGGTCGCGCGGGACCCTCAGCGGTTCGAGTCGATCCCGGAACTCGACGACCAGGAACGCGCTGCGCTCGTCTACGAGAGAGATCACAAATGGCATGGCCCGTTCATGCTCTGGTACTCGATTGCTCTGTGTGCGATTGGCGCTGCGACACAAGGTTGGGATCAGACCGGGTCCAACGGGGCGAACCTCTCTTTCCCCCAGGAGTTTGGCATCGCTGGGGATGGCAAAGATGAATGGATTGTGGGACTGGTCAACGCCATCATTTTCTTGACGGCTGGGATGATGTGAGTGTCGAGAGTCCCCAACATTGCTTTTTTTTTTTTCGCTGCTTCGCAGGGCTGATTTGTGATCTTTGTGATCTTTACAGTGGCGCCTTCATTGTCGATCCGCTCAACCACTACCTGGGCCGAAGAGGCGAGATCTTTGTCACTGCGTGCTGTCTGACCGCCACCCCAATCGGATCTGCATTCGCCAAGTCGTGGCAGGGATTGTTCGCTGCTCGATTCGTGATGGGTATTGGGATTGGAGCCAAGAACGCGACCGTCCCGATCTACTCGGCGGAGATGGCGCCTGCGCGCATTCGAGGTGCTCTGGTCATGTTCTGGCAGTTGTGGGTTGTCGCAGGTGCGCCACTCTCTCCTCATCCACCGGATCTGGTTACCACTCGTATACAATACTGACCTCGTCGATCAAGGTATCTTCTTGGGCTTCGCCGCCAATGTCATTGTCAAAGACACCGGTCGCATCGCATGGCGCCTGCAACTCGGATCCGCATTCATTCCCTCCTTCATCCTAGGGATGGGGATCTTCTTCTGCCCGGAATCCCCTCGCTGGCTGATGAAGCACGGTCGGTACGCCCAAGGGTTCAAGTCCATGCTGCGTCTGCGCGCCCACCCCATCATCGCCGCCCGAGACTACTACTACTCGTATGTGATCTACGAGGAGGAACTCCGGGAAGCGCGGGGCGCGGGCTACTTTTCTCGCATGTGGGATTGCTTTGCCGTGCCTCGCATCCGCCGGGCCAACTACGGCGCCTCCACCGTCATGATCGCCCAGCAGATGTGCGGCATCAACAGTAAGTTGGTCCGAGACTTGCTCAATACCAGGTAGACTGATGTCTGACACTCCGTAGTTATCTCGTTCTACAGCTCGACCATTTTCGAGAACGCCGGATATAGCGCGACCCAGGCGTTGTACGCCTCGCTGGGCTACGGCGCGATCCAGGTCGTCTTCACCATCCCGACCGTGTTCCTGATTGATACCAAAGGACGCCGGACTCTGACCCTGATTGTGAGTGGAATTCTGTTTCTGTCTCTGTCTAAGGTCTGAGTGATGATAAGAGACCGCCAACTAACGCTCCATCTAGACTTTCCCCCTCATGTGCATCTTTCTCCTAGCAGCCGGTCTCTCCCTGCTGAAAGACACGGGTAGCAAGGGTGCGCAGATTGGCCCCGTTGCTCTGTACGTTCCCCAGCCCACCTTGGATAGCATCCAGTGTGACTGACCACAGCGAAGGTTCGTCTACCTCTTCACCATCTGCTACTCCCTGGGGGAAGGGCCGGTGGCGTTCCAGTACTCGGCCGAGGTGTTCCCGACCATCCAGCGTGAGCAAGGCATGGCCTGGGCTGTGTGCATCAATAACACCTTCGGTAAGCCCTTCTATTCTTCGTATAACCAGAATCAATCAGCCCTTGCAGCTAACAGTCACCCAGCTGGTATCCTCAGTTTGACCTTCCCTCGGATGAAGACCGTCATGACTCCCACCGGTGCCTGTAAGTGAAAGAAAACTCGATTAACTCAACGCGAGGACATGCCCTAACTGTCATCACTTCCTCTAGTCGGATTCTACGCTGGTCTGAACCTGATCGCCTGGTTCATGATCTTCTGCTTCGTGCGCGAGACCAAGCAGCTCACCCTGGAGGAGATCGATCGTAAGTTCCTCGCGGTCATTCTCATACACTTGCACAGTAACGGTTGCTAATGCCTCTGTGACAGAGGTCTTCTCCGTCCCAACGAAGAAATTCATCAACTACGAATTGACGGTGTGGCTGCCGTGGTTCATCAAGCGATACATCTTCCGGCAGAAGATCGAACGCCCGCCCCCGCTGATCGCGACGGCAGGACATTCCGACGACGTTGTCCAGGTCTTGTAGTCTGTTCGTAAGATCTGCGCGCAAAAGATTAAGGGGGGAAGAAACGTCGGAGCGGGCTGCTCTCTGGTGAAGGAATGCCGCTGGATGCAGTTCTAGAGCTCTACTGAAATAGTTGCGTGAGCTTGGCCACCAGGAGGAGAAATATTCACATACAGGCATATTAAGTCTTCAAGTTCTCCATCTCCGGGCTTTTCCTTTAAGTGTTAAATTGCCACCATGAATAACACCCGATATGTCGATATCCCCGCGTAGTCAGCCAAATCTCCCAATCGCTCACGCTCACCCCGTAACAGCATACACACAACACCCTTCACCCTTGCCCATCTCAGTAAACAGGAACAGCCCCTCACTCACTCCCCAAACCCACCCTCCACCCCGTCCACCCCATCCACCGGCCCTATCTGCGCCACAATAGACAAGAACTCCGCAGACGAGATCCCAATCTGCTCCAAAAACTCCACATTCGCCAGCTGCGGATCCTCCACCGCCATGAACGACGGACCACCCAACTCCTCCTCCCGGACCACCCCATCGCCGTACCCCACCAGCCCGCCGCCAGCGGCGACAGAGTGCCCAGCCTCACCCCCTTGCATAACCCCCGCCGGTACCTGCAGACTCGCCGGTGTATGCGTATGCCACGAGGAAGAGGAAGGGCGGCCGGGGCGGTCGGGGCGACGACCCCGGCCCGCCACCGACACCGCCACCTCGTCCAGCAGCCGCTCGAGGTGCATCAGCCCTTCCTTCCGGGCGAGCGCGATGCGGTTGCCGTGGTGAATCATTGCGTCAAGGATGGAGTGCGCTTGGTGGCTGGGATTGGGACTGGGACTGGGACTATCTGGTGTTGGGGGA